TTGATGGCACCACCAACCCCGTAACGAGACATCTCATCGAAATGACCGGTCTCCGCGTCTTGAACCTCCAAGAACATGTATTGCATGTTCTTGAATAATATGTATTAATAAGTCTTTAAGGAAATCTCATGTGGGAAACCTGATTTATATTCTAATATATTCTATTGTGTAATTTTTTTAATTATTCGTACTTCTCAATCTATCATGTTCAAATTACATGTATTTATTTTTTAGGGAACATTAAACCTTATTCGTCAGCCAGTCTGTCCATCTGTCACGAGAACTTTAAACTTGATAATAACTATTGAATGAGTTGAAATAGGACTTTGATATTTCACATGAGCATTATTTGTGACATCTGATTTTCAAATATACTGTGATTTTTGACCCTGTGACCTTGATCTTGGAGCTTGACCTACTTAAAAAAAATAACATTACTTTAAATTGACCATAGCTTTTGAAAGCTTCCATTTTATAAAAATGTATTAATTGTGACAACGCCTTTTAAAATTCACTAATTTTTTACCCTTTGACCCTGAAGTTTGACCTGCTTTTCAAAAACATTAACAATACTCATACCTTTTGACTGAGAAGAGATAGGGCTTTTATTTTATCCCTGTGAATTACCTAAGACAACTCTTTTCTAAATACACTGATTTTTGACAACTTGACCTTGAGGCTTGATCATAACTTTTTTAATGAGGAGAGATAGGGCTTTCATATTACACAAACATCACAATGTCATGTACGTAACCTGTGATAAAATCATATCAAATGCTAGTATATCATGAACTTTGAAGTTTATCCGGCTTTTCCAAAATTTAAACATTGCTTAAAATTGACCATAACTTTTTACACATGTATATTAGCTGTGACAAGGCCTATCTAAAAAAAGGTATGGCTTAAATCATGGAGAGTTTGTTATGGCCTTGAATCAAGGTCATTTAGGATAAGATATTTTGACTGGATGCATTGTTTGAAAAAAATATGTGTGAATTTGTCAATACAGTAGCACACAAATGGGGTATGCTCATCACCATCTTGTGTCATGGTGTGACCCAAGGTCATTTTGACAAGGTCAAGGTCGCAAACATTCCTTTACTATCACTTTTTTAATAGTAAAACATAATAAGATGATATCTACCCTTAAGAGATTGCTTTATCATTAGAATGTGACATGACCTTGACTCAAGGTCATTTCTCTCTGTCCGTAGCTCCGACGGAAGACCTACTCGTTGCTTTGCAACGAGCTCGGCTCTAGTTTTATCTGAATTCAGGGAAGATGGCACGTACCAAGCAGACTGCAAGAAAATCTACAGGAGGCAAAGCCCCACGAAAACAGCTGGCTACCAAGGCAGCCCGTAAGAGCGCACCAGCCACCGGTGGCGTTAAGAAACCTCACAGATACAGGCCAGGAACTGTTGCTCTCCGTGAGATCAGGAGATACCAGAAAAGCACCGAATTGCTCATCAGGAAACTCCCATTCCAGCGCCTTGTCCGTGAAATCGCTCAAGATTTCAAGACCGATCTGCGTTTCCAGAGCTCAGCCGTCATGGCCCTCCAGGAAGCCAGCGAGGCCTACCTTGTCGGACTTTTTGAGGATACCAACTTGTGTGCTATCCATGCCAAGAGAGTGACCATTATGCCAAAAGGATATCCAGCTTGCCAGACGTATCCGTGGCGAGAGAGCCTAAGCCTATCCTTGTCTCAGACAAACACAAACGGCCGTTTTCACGGCCACCTAAATCTTTAGAAAAGATGCCTTCATGCAATCCAAAGAAACGTAACAATAAATATAAATTATAAAACACAGGGTAGATCTACTTCGGTTTTCACATAAGAAACCTCTGAAATTTAAGGTCTGGGGATTACTGGGGAAATATTGAATGAACATTATTTATTGTATTTAAGAAAGTACTCAGAAATATACCGGCTAAAATTACGACAGTTTGCAGTCGTATTATTGTTAATGAACAAGCGAGTGTCTCGCACACACGCGAAACAAAACAAACAAACAAAAAACACCCTTACACACATTCATTCAGCAGTGTAGAAATAACACAAATGCATCTGATAACACTGATTCATCAAAAGAAGGGGATAATGAAGAAAAACACTCGTATGTCTCTTGTGTATTTCACGTACAAATGACAGATTAATTGTATTTATTAGTCACATTATGCAGAAATATGAATACATCTTGCTTATTCGGATAGAGAGAGAGAGAGAGAGAGAGAGAGAGAGAGAGAGTGTGTACAAACAATAAAACATTGAATGCTGCTTTTAAAGGAAAATTGAGAAATACTATGACAAAGTTAGTTTATTGATCTCCATTCAACAATTGTGATTTAACCCTTTATACATTGATTATAAAAAACCTATAAAATTTCATTTCATTTTTGTTTGTTTGTTTTTCCTTATGATACATTTGTTAAATATTTATATAGTGGTGTCAGATTTAATTCAGATTATTGGGTTTAATGTAATACTCTGATAAAAAAAAAAAATAATAATAAAATGAAATAGATAAAAAAGAAAGCAAGAAACCAACCAAACAAAGAAAAAGTAACAAAATTCCTATGAATAAATATTAAATCGAAACATAGAATTATATCTAAATATTGAGCCACAAATATGGAAAGGCTGAAATTATGATGGCTTAAAAATATGTGACACGGTTTAGTAGCAGCTCAAGGGTATACAAATGTAAACAAAAACATATGTAAGGCGCGCAGAGCGTAAACCAATCGCGCTGTGGCTTTCAAGTGTGCTTTCGGGACTTGCCGAGTTTTCAAGACATTGTAGTTTCTAGCGCGTCGTGTAGTGACTGCTATATATACCGTGATCCCGTCGTGTTAGAATATTTCAGGAGATTATCTACTGAGAGCTAAACTATGTCTGGACGTGGTAAAGGAGGAAAAGGTCTTGGAAAGGGGGGCGCTAAGCGTCACAGGAAGGTCCTGAGAGATAACATCCAGGGTATTACCAAACCCGCCATCCGTCGTCTTGCACGCAGAGGTGGAGTCAAACGTATCTCTGGACTCATCTACGAAGAAACCCGTGGTGTCCTGAAAGTTTTCCTTGAGAATGTCATTCGTGATGCTGTCACCTACACAGAGCACGCCAAGAGGAAGACTGTCACAGCCATGGACGTTGTCTATGCCCTGAAGAGACAAGGACGTACCCTCTACGGATTCGGTGGTTAGATACCCCTATGAGCATTTGCTTTTGAAGAAGCAACAACAAACGGCCGTTTTCACGGCCACCCAAATTCTTAGAAAAGATGCCTCTAAACAGACGTGTAAAAAGAAACGTGTGTGTTAATAACTTGACAGTTCTTTGTTAATTATATAATTGTCAACAAATATATGTTACTGGAATGGGGCATAACATAGCTAGTCCTGCAGTAACTAGTTCACAGGGTAGGGAAAACAAAACAGTAATTATTTTTTTATGTTCCTATAATCCGAATATAATTGATTTACATTTTATGCCATGTCTCCTTTCTGATTTTCAAAGAGGGGGCCAGGTTGAGAGAGAAAACATCCCCCCCCTCCCCTAATTGTTAAAATGGATATGATATTCTACAAAGACGCATCCAGTACACACAGCAAATTAAACAACACGTAGGGTTAGCTATCGTTACAGCTTTCTAAAACTTGTTGATTAAAGAAACTATAAAAAAAAAAATGAATAGATAAATACAACTCTGCACACAACTCTTCTGGTCAATTCTACTCTGACAAGGAAGCAAGAGTTATCCTTCTTGTCATAAACTTCATATTCCTTGAAGTGATTAGATGCTGATTTTTCCTCAACATTTGACCCTTTCATCAATAAATTTATATATAAATTCACAGTTGTCTTTTTTTCTTTTTGGTTCTTCTTCACTTTATTATATTTGCATCCAAAGCCAACACAAGGTACGACAACATTGACATGGTTATTTTTTTTTCAAAAGAAACAAAAACATCTATTTCTGAAAACCAGCATGGTTTAATAATGTGATGAATCTTGATCCTCATCCATGTGAGAAACAAACAAATGCACATGCACACACATAAAAAACAAAATGTTAAGCGAGAGGACATTTTTATACGCTAACGTGTGAAACACTAGTTCCAAGGATTCATATATTTATTTATTTCATAACGTAATATATACATATCCGATATGTTTATCATCCTTGTACATTTTCAAATTGCGTAGAAATAATAAATACTATTAATATAATGAATTTCTATTTAACATACAATGCATTTCTTTTCTTTCTCTCAAACTTTCCCCTGAAATACACTTTATAAATGAAGACCTTTTCTCATGCTCTCAGCTTTCATGTCCTGTGAAGATAACCTGTAATGGGTAATGTATTTTGTTTTTTGCATTGTTGAAGGGGTTACTCTTCGCCAGTACACACAATAAGGCATGTATTGAGACAGGTAAGTATAAAACTCGTTTTATTTTACAAAAATCTTATACACTTTACAGCTGATTGATAACTTTTTGTCATTGTCATAGTCACACAGCGCCAGTTTAGTACAGGCATAACACTGTGTAGTACAGTACATAGTCCTTAGTTGGGTGTTTCTCGTAGTTTGAGGGGGGGACTGATTATAATTACAGGCCGGGAAAATCAAATCATCATTCTTAAATGTGTATTTTAAGAAAAATTTAGATATCGTTACTGAATTCTGCCTCTCAAGTGAACAATTTAACTTGCGAAATTCAATCGTGACTGTCTGGGGGCCTAATTTGTTGAATTTGAACACTGCAATAAGAACAATCTAAAAATGTGAATAGATAGAGTGATAGACAGATTTATGACATATTGGGATGAAGTTCCTTCTTTAAGCTGCAGCAAGGATGCAAATACCCACATTGAAACACACATGCAGGATCAAAATTACAGTCGTCTCGACACACTGGATGTTTTCTAGGCGTTCCGCGCACGGTGTAAACAAAAACAGCAAGTGCGTGTGACCTGACTATTTCACTGACTATTTCACTGTTCACAGTTCCTGAGAAGTAAGTCGACGTTTTACACCCGTAAGTAGCCATGGCCGATACTGCCGCACCAGCAAAGTCCCCAGTCAAGAAGAAGGCCGCAAAGCCTAAGGTGCCTGCTGCCCACCCCAAGTACATTGACATGATCAGCGCTGCCGTTGCATCTCTGAAAGAACGGGGTGGCTCATCCCGACAGGCCATTCTTAAGTACATCATGGCCAACTACAAAGTGGGCAACGATGTTAACTCTATCAACGCCCACCTGAAGATGGCCCTGAAGAATGGTGTCAAAAAGGGTGCTCTGAAGCAAGCCAAGGGCACAGGCGCTAGTGGCTCTTTCAAACTTGGAGACAAACCCAAGACCGAAAAGAAGCCTAAAGCCAAGAAAGTTGCCAAACCCAAGGCAGCCAAGCCCACAAAGACTCGATAGCACTGTAAACCCAGGGTAATTATTAATGTTTGAAAATAGCCTGCAGGCATATTACTATATTCTCCTATGAATATCCTGCAACACTTACATATAGCAGTAAGTAAAATTTATGAACATTTAATTTTATTTTCAGGTTACAAAAATAAATATATATATGTAAATACAGAACAGCCCACCCTCATGCACTGGTTGTGAAATTCCATTCAGAATATTCAACTATCATGCAATACACAAGTCTGAGTATAGGTGTTATGCCCATAACTTTCACGCCTCACACTCGACATAAAACTTTAAAGGGTGCATACTTTGTTGCATTAATTTCGACGACTGCGATTTTTCAAGCAAATGGTCCTGTAGCTTGTACATGTGTATGGTTAAAAGATGCCTGAAAGCCATAGATCCACACAATTTACAATATTGATTTTTCTTTTAAATTTAACCCCGTTTTCAGTACTGTATTGATCAGAACTTTGGTTTTATTCCTACGATACAAGTCATGCATGTTATCTAGGTCTACATACAGGAAAACGGTATCTGAGGATATATTTATGGTTTTTTTGTGCATGGTAACACGCACATGTTGATCACGTTAACGAGGACGAGCACGAACTGTATATACATGTATACAAGTAGATGTATTTAATACCCACATGCAAATTTATTACACCAAAGGATACGAAGAAGTTCTATAGTAATTTGAATTTAGTATAGAGAAAGAAATACTAGTAATGATTTTGACGATTTTGCTGCTGATTTCCATCAACTGCATGCTGGCAGATAAAAATCTCAGATCGGTCTCAGATCTCAATTCTCCATTGCTGAGCAGGGAAATCATCGATCTTCATTTTAACTTCTCGCGTTTAACTGAGAAATACAAACATTCTTTGAAGGTATGTGTAGGAAATGCAGTATATTAATTCTTTAATTATGATTTTTAAAATGGGATCCAGAATAACAATATTGTTATATGTACATAATATACTCAGTACATTTATTCATATCTTTTTTATGTAGGAAACCATATTTGAAACAAAGTTGGAAACTAAATGTACATATGTAGGATGTTCAACAAAAAGAAGCACTTCTCCATGTGGTAAAATTAAGTTTGTTAAATATCGGGAGTTTAATTACAGTGCTTGACCGAGGGAATTTCATAAGGGGGGGGGGGGCAGTAGAAGATAAGGGATATGGGGGCTTTATTGTAGCCCCCAATGGGTCCAGAGCAAAGCGTTGATGGGGATCCGGGGGCGAAGCCACCGAAAGCTGAAAAATTTTTACAAATAAGAGGTGTTCTAAATAAAAAAAAAAGTCAAAGGGGGGGGGGGGGGGTTGCATTATTACTTCGGTGAGAGATTCCTCATTGGAAGTTATGTATATTTTTTATGCTACAGGGGCGTAGTATCCGGGGGGGCCAGGGGGGGGCCTTCCCCCCCCCCACTTTATTTCCCAACCTTACTTACACTATAGGAAATTTTAATTCAAAGCCTGTTTGCCCCCCCCCCCCCTCACTTTTAGAAATGTACCGAAAATGTAGTATAAGAATTGGTACTAAAAGTAGTTGACACTGAAAAAAAGTTTACCTACCTACCCCCCCTCCCCCCCCCCCCCCCCCCCCCACGAAATAGGATTTCCGACTTCGGGCAACTTTCCCCCCCCCTTTTTTTTTTTGCTTGTCAACTTTTTCAGGTAAGTAAAAAAAAAATTTTCTCTGCCTGGTCCCCCCACTTTCAAAAACGATGCTACGCCACTGTGCTATACATATGCTATATTTGTTGTTGTTGTTGTTGAACTCTCATTTAATAGTTCTGAAGTCTAAGACTTGTCCAAAAGGATGGAAACGGAGAGGAAGAAGCTGTTATAATCTATTTCTGGAAAAAGTGAACTGGTTTCAGGCTCAGGTGAGGAAATTTTTTTAAAATCAATAAAAACAAGATAATTCCGAGAATTTGTGTACCCCGCTGAAGGAAAAACGGGGAGGATGCTCAGATTTGGGGGTCGACCCCCCCCCCCTTTCCCGGATTTGCAGAATTGTTAAATTTTGTACTGAAGCAAACAAAAAATTCCAATACGGATATAAAGATTTGAATGCTTATTCTTCGAAAGGTCCTTTTGATGTAAAATATTCATCACACAGTATTAGTTTGTAGTCTTTGTACACGTCATCCCTCATAACTTCTTTTCAGATGCTAAATACTATCATTCAGTAATTCATTAAAAAAAAAAAAATTAAAAAAGGCTCAATCGGGATTCGAACAAGGGACTTTCGCATGCAAAAGGGGAATCTTTCCCCTCGGCCATCGACGAACTTGACATATCAAGGACTTAAATGCAAACAATAAGTCACATACATATTGTATACATGTTTACATCACTTTCTACATTGTCAAATAAAAAAAAACGAGTGTTGGTACTTTAGCCTCTACTAAGCCCTTTGACTTCAAAATAGATATACATGTACAGGCGTGTTCTTCAGGCCATAGGGAGTAGTCATGTTGAAATTAATTGCAAAAGTTTAAAGGCTTCTCGAGAAATCGCTTGGAAATGAAAGTGTACAGACAGACAGAATTACAGCCGAACGGAGGGACGGACAGAAGGGGTTGGGGGTTATGGTATTAAATTTAATTGTAAAAACTCAAAAGCTTCTTGAGATATCGCTTGGAAGTAAAAGTTTTACACACACATATACAAAATGTATAAATTTACGACCTTGACCTTTAACCTCAAATTTAATTAGGGTCTTCATTTAGTCATAGAAAATTGTGGTATAAAATAACATTGCAGAAGCTCAAAAGTTTATCGATATATCTTGCAAAAACGAAACTGTTAAAACAGACAGAATTTTTTTTAAACTTATGAAATTGGCCTTTTGACCTCAAAATCAATTGGGATCTTTCTTAGTCCATAGAAAATTATTGGGTAAAATTTCATTGCAAAAGTTCAGAAGCTTCTCGAGATATCGCATGGAAACGAAAGCGTTACGCACAGAGAGAACTAAAGACGGACAGACCAAAATTAATATACTCAACTTTTAATGGGGGACAAAAATTATGTCAAATACTGAACTTTTATTTTAATTAATCAAATAAAACTTTGAGGGTGTGTTCAAACTGTCGGTCTTACAGTCTGCGTTTTCTGTTTATCCTTGGGCTGACAGAATAAAATTACTAAATTATTTTGATACCGGTATTTAAATTATGCATTTTCAAATACAGAATCTTAAGGTAGTCCGATTCTCAGCTAGGAAGGATAACTCTTTAATTCATAATTTAATTCAAAAAGTCTCAAAACGAAGCTTGAATTTTTTCATGCAACAATTTAAATTTTATACTAGTACCTCTCAATGTGCTTCTAGGTTCTTTGAGGCTCTAAGAAAGGTCTTCTAACAAGTCGAAATTTTTACCCCTTAAAAGTATTTTAAAAACACATATTTAAAAAAATTGAGGTTCTTTTAATCTATCTATTAATACCAATGTTTATTAGCATGATATGAAATTAGGAGTGATTTATAGTGTTTTGCAGTGATAGGAAAATTTTTATACACTATTGTGTACTGTAAAATGATAAAAGTAATTAAATAGAAGAAAATAAAATACTTTATATGTATAAAAATCGAGCATTTTCTTCAAAAAGCCTGGATACCTATGGTTTTTATAATTATTTCTAAAATGTGTTTGTTGATCAAATTTCAAATTGGTATTTTTATGTGCATTTTTTGATGAATTTTTTTTTATAGATTTATTTAGTTTCTATATTTAATACGATTAACTTTAGAGGTGAAGTTTGAAGAATTATCTTCGGTAAAAATACACTACTTTGATAATTCAAAGACATTTTTGTGAGCCTTTTCAATAAGTCAATGAATGGCTTTCAGAACCTGAGGATCGGACTACCTTAAGTCAAAATAAGATTTATTATTTATATGCAAAAATTGAGACTTTATAGAACTTTCATAAAAGGTTCCTTATAAAACTAAATGTGTAAAATAAAGACACATAAATTGTCAAAATGATCTGCAAAAATCTCTTTATAGATAAATTGCCGGAAATACGATGCAAATCTTGTTCAAATTGAAGATAAACGTGAAGGCAAATGGTTAAAAAGACAATATCCGGGGAATAAGGCAGGTATACAGTGTACATAAAAATTCATTAATCCTAATTTTCAAAAATATTTATAAAACTAGTATGGTACAACATCCGTCTGAATCAGACTAAAATCTGTTGTCCATTTTTACGCCCCTTTAATCGAAGATTCGGGGGTACTGCAACTCCAACTTTTATTCGCGACAACTTTGTTTCGCGATTTACCAGGGATGAACAAGTTCGCGACGATTAATTTTCGCGATCAATGCAAACCTTTTTGGATCTGTTTTTAATACATGTAGACACATACACTTTAAGGACCGGTTCGCGGCGAGAAATACGAGTATTCGCAATGACGAGCCTCTCGCGAACTTCGCAAAAATTTCTCGCAGGCGAATAAAAGTTGGTTTACAGTATATAGGTTTTGCCCTGTCTGTCTGTTTGTCCGCAAAAACTTTAACTTTGTCCTTAACTTATGTTGGTGGAGTTATGGCTTTCTTATAAAACCCCTGTCACACCGGGGCTGCGTCCTCACGGCGAAAAAATGTAAAACGCCGAGGTGATCGCAGTAGAGTCTCCTACAGCGCCGTGACAACGCGACGAGATCTCTACTGAACGCCGTGGGGTCGCGTAGGGTCTCCGAGAACGCCAGGGGACGGCGATCACTTTGGGCATGCACAAAGTACGCGCCGTGTGATCGCGGTCTGATAAGAACGCAGTATCGCCGTAGCAGCGCGGTGAGATCTCCAACAACGTAGTGGGAGCTCCGTACGAAAGCCGTGAAGACGCAGATGATCGCGGCACAAACGCAGTGATAGTAGACTGCGCTTCCACGGAGACCTCACGGAGATGTCACGGAGACCTTGGAGATGTCACTGCGTTTCTATCGCGTTTTTACGGCGCTACTAATGAGATTTATCGTCTTGTGATTTTTTCGACTGCGATTACACGGCGACAGCACGGAGTTGTCACTGCGATCATTGCGCTCCCATGGCGTTTCTACAGCGTCCGTTGGCGATCACAATGCGCTTTCACGGCGTTGTTAGAGCGTTGTCAGCCATCTCACAAAACAAGAGCAATGGGATCATATTTGATCAGCAATAATTCCAACGTATTTGTTGCACTACGAGCATTTAAATGAAAAAAAAAAATAATGGAAGAGAAAATTACACCAGAACTTGTTCTGTCGTTTCACTTAAATTTTGTAGAAAACTTTTCAGTGTGTTTATTTTTTTTACATTCATAATAACCATGATAAAATCAAAGAAAATCTAACAACACATCTGAACCGATGAAATTGGAAAAAAGGAATTTAATCATAAAACTATTAATAATTGTTTTATTTTTAAAATATATTTCGTACTAAATTATTTAAATAGAACATTAATATTTTTTGGCATGATTAGAAGTCTTTTCATCGTGTAACTTGAATCTTTAAACAGAAATGTTTAACATTCCTTCTGAATATAGACCAATGAGTATATAGAACGCATTGTGAACGTATTGTGAACGCAGCCAGCGCAGTAAGAACGCCGTGAACATGAGGTGACAACTCCTAATGGGCCGTGAAAACTCCGCGGAAGCGTAGTCAATCGCCGAGAGATCTCCGTGAGAACGCCGTGAGATCGCCGTAGAATCGCGTCCGTCGCCGTAGGGACGCCGTGACATATTCATATTGTGAAAATTTTACAGAAATTTGTGAAATTTTCCTGCGATTCCACGGCGATTTTAAAAATTTAACAACGCCGTAATGACTCCGTGTGAACGCAGCTTGGTGTGACAGGGCCTTAGGTATATTCCTTATGACAAGACCTTTCTTTTTGGTACCACCAAATTTGACCTTGTGGCCTTGACCTTTGTATTTGAACCACTTTTGTATAAAGAAATCCTTACTTTAACCATAACTAAAACTTCTGAATATTTGGTGCTAGGGCTTTCACACTTCACACGTGTATTTACTGTGACAATAACTTTAGATTGGGTATAAGAAATTTCACCTTTTGACCTTGATGTTAGAGTTTGACCCACTTAAAAAAAAAAAACTTTGACCATGACCATAACTTTTGAACTGTAAGTACTAAGACTTTCATATTTCATATGTGTATTCAGTGTGCCAAGTCCTTACTGTGGGTACCAACAATTTTTTACCTTTGGACATTGACTTAGGAGTTATACATGCATTTGAGAAATTTCAACCCTCACCATGAGCTGACATCCGGGGGCATCAGTGTTTCACAAACAGATCTTTTTAATTTGGCAAAATGTACGTGCTAGATCAAAGTTTTCGTTTAAATTTCTTTGTTAGAAAATCAACTTATTTCATAATTCAGAGTTTCGAAGTTTGAATTTCTCAATATGCATATTTTGATCAAAAATTGTTCGCGCCATTGCTCTGATATCATAGACCAATCCTAGTCTGGCAAAGTTCTTAATTCCTGTGTTCACTATATAAACACATCTGATAAATATTTGAAAGACTCGTGAAAAATCTCTTTCTTGAGCACAACACTATTTTAATAGAATTATATCAAGATGAAAAATAATAGTAGAGGTATTGTGAGCAATGAGCTCACTAAATGATACCTCCCTCCTCCCATATGGTTATAATTGCAAAGTCCATGTTTTGCTGTGGCCGGAAAACCCAAAATATGTGTCAGATCAAAAAGTAAAACAGGTGTACAATGGAAATATGTAATAAAGATTCTGTGAAAGTTTCTTTTAATTTCACTCAGTGGTATAAGAGGAGTTGCGGATAAGAGATGGGTACCCCAAAGCGTAACAGACAGACGGACCGAAGGATGGGCAGCTAGACGGACGTACAGATGGACGGACGAACATACTGATTACTATATAACCTCCCGCTTTTCAAGCGAGGTATAATAAAATCGTTTATATGACATATGTACAATATGAGTCACTGTAAACATAAAATAAAATTACATGGGAGCAGAACTTCCCTTGCACACAGGAGCTTTGCTCATGATCAAGTAATTATACTCATAAAGTAAACAGAGCAATATGCAAGTGAGGTTAAGTTATATAAGCTAATTTCTATGATATTCAATATTCAATAATATTTATTTTATCTTGTAATGTTTACAATACATTTCCATTTGCCAACCCGTAATTATATGATAAGAAAGATTTGTGCTAATGTCAAATTTTTATTCTACTGATTTTCTATTTTGTTAAGATTTTGGATTGATGCGTGTGATCTAGCAAAAGAGGGTCAATGGATGTTGTTTTCATCTGGGAAGAAAGCCACATACACACCATGGGGCAGTTCTGAACCAAACAATTATAAATCTGATGAGCACTGCGCTATCATTGCTGACGCAGGACAATGGTATGACGTGGATTGTCGAAGATCCTTTAATTTCCTTTGTGAAAAGACATTGTACTAAATGTCAATCACCTTTTTGATTTTAAGAATTGTTATTTGATGTAGTGAAATAAAATGGCTATAGACAATGAATTGGTTAACTCTTATTTAGCTTATTCTGGATCGATGCGGATGCAAATATGTTAGCCTACATCAGCTAATTACACCTAATGGTCACTGGCCTACTTGTTATACCCTCGCTTGAAAAGCAAGGGGTACATAGTGATGGGGGTGTTCATCCGTCTGTCCGTCTGTCTGTTACGCTTTGGGTACCCATCTCTTATCCACAAATCCTCGTATACCACTGTATGAAATTTGATGAGACTTTCTCAGAATCTTTGTTACATAGTGCCATTAAATTTACAGAACTGTAGCTCTCTGCTTGAGAAAATTCGGACAGATAAAGCAGAGATCTACAGATCCGTGCTTTGTAAAAACCTTCGATTTACGCCGCCGATTTTTTGTCGCTCACTTCATGTATTATTTTCTTATATTTTATGTTTTTCCCAGCTTTATAAATGATATCCGACAATCAATCATACATTTAACTAGTGTCATATTCCTAAATGTTTATTTTCCTTTCAACGGTTCAAGAAAGGCCGTTTGTGGAAGTGGACGTAAAAATAGGAATCTTTTAAACCGACATTCTAAATTCATAGAGGACTGTTTCGGATCACTGAAAGGCAAATAAAGTGTAAATAATTGGAGTAAAATATATGATTCATTATCGGATACCATGCTATCGGCGTAAAAAAACATAAACTACAAGAAATAATACCTGAAATTAGCAGCCAAAAATCGGCTGCGTAAATCGAAGGTTTTAAAAAGCATGGATCTGTA